AACAGGATTTGATTAGTTCTTCCTCTGAATGGTTGAAGTCAACAGAATACCAGACGAATACATCATCGGTCATTTGGACATCTTTTTACAACGACGAAGAAACCATAGACAATGTGAAGAAAAACCAATAAATCAACATTTAAGTTTTGTGACAAGCATATAGTTATTTGTCATTGCCTTTTCCTGTAATCCCCGGCTGCGTCATACCAAAAGACGTTAAAAGATGGTACTTGTTGGTACCCTGTCTGGCGCTCGGCATTAAGGGGCGAAAACAAGGACTGGTCGGCTCGGAGTCAGTATTCTGTGTCAGAGTGGGGTCTTCATGTTAAACTGCGGCTTTGTATCTCAGTGTGCAATACTGCACTCAAAGGATTTTACCACAGGTTTTATATGGTATGTTTTAACACACACACACACACACACACACACACACACACACACACACACACACACACACACACACACACACACACACACACACACACACGTGCATGCCCGTCGCTATTAAAGTGCAATAATCTTGGACGCGACGTTAAGCCCCATTTCACTTCTCCTCACCTTGGGGGCGGTCGGGTAGTCTAGTGGTTAAAGCGTTCGCTTGTGATGCCGAAGACCCGGGTTCGATTTCCGACATGGGTACAATGTTTGAAGCCCATTTCTGGTGTCCCCCGCCGTGATATTGCTGGAATATTGCTAAAAGCGGCGTAAAACCATACTCACTTACTCTCCTCACCTTGTCCTGTCATCATTTACGAAGTCACGGAACAAAAACAGGACACATTGTGTTTTTTTTGTTTTTTTTATTTTGAAATGTTAAAAATAGAGAATAGTTTTCAGAGACACAAATTGAGACTTTTATAATATTTATAATTCGTAATGTTCAATGCAATAATAATGCATGTTAATGTTGTTGTTTGTAAACAGTAGATAATAACAGTATTTATTTGAATGTCTTATCATGGAACTGACATCTGTTTGCTCTAAGGTTCGATAAGATTAAGTATAGAGTCTTATAGAAAGTGTTGCCGTTCAACAGCAATAAGAACAAAGTTAATAGTGTTTTTTAACTGAACATGCGATATGCATTTGGCTGTTTGACATACAATTTTGAGAATCAATATTTAATAAAAATAGATATCTAAGCATCTATGTTTGATGAAATATAAATCTTTAATAAACATTTGATTTAAAGCAAGAAAATCCTTGACCTTTTCTAATTTAGAAGCGTCACACATCAAAACAAATTTTGTAATAAAGCACGACTTCATCACGCTCTGTACATGTTCTAGTATAAAGTGTGGCAAAGCTACAGCATGGTACATGTAGATATTGCCCAGAAATATTCCCCTCAAAAACAAACTTGACGCTTTGACAAATTAGTAAATTGTCTAAAGTGAATGTTTCCCTTGTGAGTTTCTACCCTTTGTTATTTTCCACCTTTTGTTATGTTCTTGTTGTCCTTACATGTACATATATATGCTCTCTGCCTCATGGCATTCATTCACTTGCAATTGATAAATGAGCAAGCATATACTCCGAAACGTTGTGTTCCTCATAATAAAGAAGTTAACATCCTTAATTTGTTTGCCTTATGTGCATCACTTCTAAATGCCTTTCAAAGACCTGAGATACTGTTAATAACAACACAATTCATCTTGGTTGCAAAACAACGTGTGGATGCATTACCAAAAGGTGAGGCAATACATACGCACATTGTGATAGGGAATCTATTCAGAGATAATTAAAAAAACGCATTAAGAAAGACATACATACGTGCAGCATGAGTTCAACGCCACAAACATGTATTGTCGTTTACATTCAACCGCTTTCATGCCACGCTTGAGTGAGTGAGTGAGTGAGTGAGTGAGTGAGTGAGTGAGGAAGTGAGTTGGTTTTAACGCCGCTTTTAACATTATTACAGTTATATCGCGGCGTGTCAGCTTAATGTGGGAGGAAAGCCCGAAGTGATGCAGGTCTCAGACGTTTACCACTTCGGTGAAACCCACGAGCACGGATATGGTGCTGACAAAACTAGAAACATAATCGGAGCGAACCGGGATTCGAACCCACAATCATAGGTTTCTGGCGTGCCCAAGGGACGCAACTCTGCACAACGAATCGCGGCGCCTTAGACGACTGGGCCACCCGTTCCCCACGCAACGTTGATAGGCACAGGTTCATTGGCAATATTGAGGCCTGTCGGACTGTTCAACGTGTATGGAGTTCACCAGTCCCCTGTTTACATACTTCTGCAACGTAACGTCTAGACAAGCAACGTCAGTGACCAAGCTCGGAGGGGTCTCCCTCGAATGACGCCATACCGACAGGATCTCTATATTGTTAATTCTTATTTACGGAATCGGTTCCTACAGATAGACAGTACACCAAGAAACACTTCTGGAACTCAGAACAGGCCAATCGGTCTCGATACCGTTCGACGCTGTCTCACCCAGGCACATTTACGTTGCCGTCGACCCAATTTTAGGGCTCGATTGACTCTACGCCAACACCGGGCTCGGCAAAACTGAGCAACAGTTCAGCGTTGTGTTTCCATATGAAAACCGTGTTTGCATCGATACGGTCTTCAGTCGTATAACAATATGGAGATGTCAAAGAGAGCGTTACAATGACCAATGTGTGTTGGAAAAAAACAGTTGGGGTGGACCTTCACTCATGCTGTTGCGTGCCAAAACTTGGGGCCGTCGGGTTCCACGTGTGATATTCCAACACAATGGTCAGGGGCGTGGTAGAGGTGTAAATGCGCAGCGATACATAGAAGAAGTGCCGAGTTGCTCCTTTCCTAGCTGGGCGACAACGTCTGATTTTCCAGCAAGATAGAGCCAGACCAGACCTGACACAGCGAGGCTGACACAGGCATTCCTGAAGAACAATAACATTCATGGACCATGGATTGCCCGGCTTTAAGCCCTGATTTAAATCCAAGAGAGCATCTCTGGGGTTAAATTTGGGTATTCATGGCCAACCCTATCAGCCAGTGACTTTATAACAAGCCCTTCTGAACAGTTACAATAAACTCCCTGGAGTGTTCATCAGGAACCTGTTCATGAGCATAGGTAGACGTGGACGCTTTTCATGAGCATAGGTAGACGTGGACGCTGTTCATGAGCATAGGTAGACGTGGACGCTGTTCATGAGCATAGGTAGACGTGGACGCTGTTCATGAGCATAGGTAGACGTGGACGCTGTTCATGAGCATAGATATACGTGGACGCTGTTCATGAGCATAGGTAGACGTGGATGCTGTTCATGAGCATAGATATACGTGGACGCTGTTCATGAACATAGGTAGACGTGGACGCTGTTCATGAGCATAGGTAGACGGGGACGCTGTTTATGAGCATAGGTAGACGTGGATGCTGTTCATGAGCATAGATATACGTGGACGCTGTTCATGAGCATAGGTAGACGTGGACGCTGTTTATGAGCATAGATAGACGTGGATGCTGTTCATGAGCATAGATATACGTGGACGCTGTTCATGAACATAGGTAGACGTGGACGCTGTTCATGAGCATAGGTAGACGTGGACGATGTTCATGAACATAGGTAGACGTGGACGCTACTGTGGTCGCTGCTGATGGAGGTCACACACGTCATTGACATTTCTCTTTGCTGAACTCGTTATCAATGGCCGCTATGATGTTACTGTTCCAGAGAAAATGTGACTCAATATATCCGTTATAAAATAAAAAAAAACACTTTGTGGTAACACTTGACTGATTGTCAATTTTGTCATTAATTGCACACATTTGAAACATCTTTTCTTAACTTACATACTTCCCCGTATGTTTTAATGGTTCGCGTTTCTGTTAGTAGGAAGTGTCATTGGCCCTGACGACCAAGGAATATGTTCGAGATATCAACACACTCGTACAGCATAGTTTGAAAGAACTAGGTGTCACTTTAACAAACCATTAAACCATGAAAGAAAATTTAACAATAAAAGACATAAATATCCACCTCTATTCCAGAAAATATGCAATATCACAGATAGAGCAGATGTAATACATATTATGAATATCACAGGTAGAATCAGAATTGTATGCATTTCAAACACAGTACGTTGCCATGTTATAGTAAGATGACACAAAGAATGCAATTACACCTTTATATAACAAGTCGTAATTTTGTCATGTATACAAAATGAATTGTTGAAAATATTTCTTTCGCAAATATTACTCTAAATGTACACATAAATATAATTACAGATATGTGTAAATATAAGTGAATTCAACCCAGATGTTCACAAGCAAATTGAAAGAATACATGTGTTGCTTCCATTACAGCCGTCATATGGCTGGACTATTCCGGGAGCGTCGTTAAACTACTGTCAACTCCTATCACAAATTGTGTCTTAAATGTATTCTCGTCGCTGGGTGGCTGTGGTATTGCCGATACGACATTCATTTATTTCGGTATATTGTAATTGTGAGCATAAGGTTTCAGCAGATTTATTTGACATTTATCATCACAATCACATCATCGATATATCAAAACCGTCGTCATAAATAATACGAAGAACGGTGTAATGAACATGCTGTGGTCATCACGGACAGGAAAACTGTCTCGAACATTTTATAAGGAACTGTTCTTCTCACCTTGCCTGCACCTATTGTTTAAGACACCATGTAGATCTAGCGTGCTTAATTCCAAATCAATGGGGGGGGGGGGGGGGGGGGGGGAGAGATCTGAAATGTGACTGTACCTTTCTATATCTGGCATTTGGGTTTTAATATTTCATTATTTTGATAGTTATGTACATTTTGAGCACTTCACGCTGACATTTATACGACTCAAAAGATGTTAAAGAACATCCGCTTCTTTCATATCTCTGTTATACATGTATGGCATAATATGTGAAATCGTTTGTTAAATAATGAGTGTAACTTATATTGTTTCTGTGGAAATTCAGTAGAAGCTCATTGCATTGCACACACGTACAGGTAATAGCTGTTGAATGCTTAAATAGTTAAAAAAAATTAAATATAACGTTACTGCAGAAGTCTATGGGAAAACATTTGGTTGTGTGTAACCTGTATTTAGATGTTCGAATTATCTGTAAACTTCCGGAACGGAAACTTCATGGATAGATCTCAAGCGATATAGAAACATGTTGATTATTCTGTGATGTTCTCGTGACACTGGACTCGGATAGCACTGTGTGAAATCAGCTGGGAATGTGCTAGAAGCTAGTTAGACTGTGGAGCAGGTGCGTGCCTATTTCATCTCACATTTCATCTCACATTACATCAAGATCAGCTTTTGAATGAAGAATGACAAACGCCGTACTTTCTTACAACCGTGATAAAGATAGGAGTGAGTGAGTGGGTATGGTTTTACGCCGCTTTTAGCAATATCAAGGCGGGGTACACCAGAAATGGGCTTCACACATTGTACCCATGTGGGGAAACGAACCCAGGTCTTCGGTGTGACGAGCGAATGCTTTAACCACTAGGCTACCCCACCGCCCCGATAAAGAGAGGGGAGTACAAAATGGTCTCCAAACCCAAAAAAACCAAACGACTATTGGTCATTATTCAAAATTTTAGCGAAATTATATATCATTCATAACAAGGTTTAAGTCGGTTTAACTCGAATATGTTGAGTCTCATGTTTTCTCCATTACGAAAATGAGGTTTCAAGGGTAAATCGTGGAGGTGAAGGGTGAGAAATTGAAGCTATGAAAACTATATCAAACCAATACTCGTCATCATCTTATGAAGCACTGTAGGCACAATTCTGCAGTTTGTCCTTTTTTATTTTCGCGCTGATAGTTTGACAATTTGAAATGATCTCGACATATTGTGAAAAAATACGGAAAAGGCCACGTGAAAATAAACGACCAACATGTTCCCAAACATTCATTATATTAATAGTGATAATCACCTTTTTTTTAAATATATATGTTTGTATAAACTAGTATCTCTGCCCGAGTCACGATACGTACGATTATAATATCTCATACGTAGATGAAAGTATATTCTACGTAGATGTAAGTATCATCTTCGTAGATGATAATTGTGTTGTAGACTGTGGCATTAATAAGTTTCCATAGGTATCATATATGTGTTTAGACCTTCGGTTTGTAGTGTCTTGGCGACTACGTTCAGGATAGTAACATTTTGATGACGTTTGTAATATTTTGTCAAATCTATTTTTCAAGTGTATGCTTTCGCTTGCCCGACAGTTTTTGTACAAGTTCCTATCCAGAAGGCAAACTACCAGTGCAGATCCGGGTTAGAATAGGCCTTCAGCAACCCATGCTTGCCGTAAAAGGCGACAAACGGGATCGCGTGATCAGGATCGGTGGTCAGGCTCGCTGACTTGGTTGATGCATGTCAACGTATCCCAATTGCGTGGATCGATGCTCATGATTTCAATAACTGGATAGTCTGGTCCAGACTCGATTATACACAGACCGCCGTCATATAGCGGGAATATTGCTGAGTGCGGCGTTAAACAACAAATAAACAAAACAAACAACTTTAAACCAACTCTGTTCGCATTAGAACATTTCAAGGTGCAGGCAGCGTGAGAATAACTCGTTGCATCAATACGATATAAATTGTGACACAACTTGCGTAAAACTATGATTAATTAATTTATAAATAACAGTATGCAGCCCATGGTCGGCTTAAATTTTCTAAAACCAAGCCAGAGGCATACTCTGGAGTTCCTCGCGACTGCTCTTTAAATCAGCTCTTCCCAAGCGCTTGTTGGCAAGGTCTTCTTTCCTTTCTCGGCTTAAAAGAGATGATTAAAATACTTGACATCAACACATTTGTTCCAATAAACGGACACATATAGTTTCAATAATATGTTTCAAAACATAGGCAACAAAATTAGAATCTTTATATGAAAAATTCCCCCGCGAGCAGATTTCTGATGACAATTCTTAAAGCTATCACAGAATGACATTCATCTTCCTCAAATTATCATTGTGTTCACAAACACTGTCAGGAGAGAACCTATATTATTAGTGTTCCCTGCGTGATTTATAGATTCGAAATAATGTGAGGCTGTATGTTGGTGTTTGTTTCTAAAGAAAATGGACAAATGTGATGGGAATTGAATTAAGTGAGTGTGTTTGGTTTAACGCCGCTTTTAACAATATTCCAGTTATATCGCGGCATGTCAGCTTAATGTGGGAGTAAGCCCGAAGTGATGCAGGTCTCAGATGTTTACCACTTCGGTGTATGGTGCTGACAAACCTAGAAACATAATCGGGGCGAACCGGGATTGGAACCCACAATCATAGGTTTCTGGCGTGCCCAAGGGACGCAAATCTGCAAAGCGAATCGCGGCGCCTTAGACGATTGGGCCGCCCGTGCCCCCGATGGGAATTGAAGTACACTCTCAGCACTGCCGACACTCATTTGACACTGAAAACCGTATGAAAACTGAAAGACTGGAGGGAGGCCTGGATTTTGTATCGATATTAAATATGTTTCGGCTACAGCTACAAAACCATATATATATTTTTAATTTAACACTATGGGTATGATTTAAAGAAAACGAAAAACATCTTGCAACACTGTAATTTTCGTGGCAGACAATTTCCTTTTGCACATTACTTTACAAGATTTTAAGGGACAATTTATTCCCTTCGATAAAATCCCAGGAACACGTCCCCCAAGCAATCTAGTGAACCGTGGAAAGGGCGAATATCTTGCCACCTGATGCATTGGAATGTGGAGTTGCTGAGAGGAGACCAGAAAGTGGGTGGTAGCTTTTGACACTACCGTGACACCCAAGGGTTCTGACAAAGGCTCTGCCAATCGGAGCGCCTGGGATTCGAACCAACGATCCTGCTTCAACTAAGGGGCACAACTCTGCAAGTCGCATTGCGCTGCCATTGGCCACAAGGCCACTCGTACCCCGTGCGATTGTAGATACTTACGCGAAACATTTGATGCCACATTTTCTAGCCAACCGATCAGCAGCTTGTCTACAAGTTTCTGCCTGAAAGAAGTCCCCCTCTCTGGTCAGTAGGCAGAATACCAGGGCGAAGCTCAAAATGGTCAGGCATACGAATCCCCATAACATCATCTGGTCTTTGCTGCAACAAAAGGAGATACGTGTTAATGTGAAAGTTGTCTGTTTGATTTTTGACTCAGAAACATTCCAGCAAGAGGCATTCTGCAAGTATTTGAGTCAGGCCCCGGAAAACAAGCTGATGGTATTACAAAAAAACACTTTGTTTGATGTTTAACGCCACAGTAGGCAATATTCCAGCTATATGGGCGGTCCGTAAAAAATGGAGTCTGGATCAGACTATTCTTTTGTTGAATCTGTTGTAGATTCTGAGTAGTAAATATATCCTTATGAATCGTTGAATTGACACGTAAAGCCAAACGATGTCACCTATTAAAAGAAAAAACAAACTTGCTTATGTATAGGATTACTGAATTACTACAAAATAGCTAAGCCTGAATTATTTTTTTTTGAGATTAAAATAACATACGCAAAATGCATGGTAGTATACAGATGTGTGACTTGTAAACGCGCGAATCCCATTTCCACATTCACAAGAAGTCTCTGCAAAATGCATAGGTCAATAACCGATAAATTCAGATGAGGTCGATATTCATAAAAAAAATAGATAAGAGCGATGGACAAATGGACAGAGCACACTTCTAGAACGTTGTTTAATAAATAAAAAACGACAAAACCCTTTACTTAATCTTAAGAAAACGCTACTGAGCGCAGAGTCCATGATACGATTCAGACTGCATCATGAGAATGGATCACTATCAAATAGTGATGATACCAGGTGTTCGCGAAAAGGTGAGCGTATCCTCCCACCAGTGGCACCCTTTACAAACACATGAAAAGACAAATCCATTGTTAACTTGAAAAAAAAACACATTGTGCAAGTCAAATCAGGGAACTGTATCGAAAAACAATCTCATTCATTCCATATATTTTATTCCTTCACGATAACTCTCTGCCCGAAAAGCCGAAACCTGGAGCCATCATTGGTTCGTCCATGTGGTTTTCACCACTATTTTGCCTTTTGCGCTTAGTTGAGACTATTTAGACTGACTGTTCTCTAGAGTTTTATATTCCAGGTGAGTGAACGCCACATTAATATGAATTTTCCAACAGCCGGTATAATTAGCATTTGATGTTTTCATGGCAACAAATGTCATACTCGAAAACAGACTCTGATATCACATATGCTCTATCTGAAATATCACCACACTTTCTGGGCGTCGCCGATAACTGGGACGCCCTCACACAAAAAGATGTAACAACATGAAACGAAGTCAGGAGAAATAGCAACATTTTAACTGTGATACAATGTAGAACAATGTTGACAAAAGAGGTAGTGACATTTGTCATCTGATTAAAAAAGTTTGGCCTCTTACCTTTGCCAAATAAGAAAATGTGGCCTAATTAGTGTTGTTAAATGGAGCACCAAATCATTCGATTCTGACAAGAGGTCATATTCGAGCCCCTCTTGGTCATCCATTTTGAAATAATAATAATAATAATAATAATAATAATAATAATAATAATAATATAAAAAAAATTTCAGGGCGATTCTTTTAGTCCTTTGCTTTTCTGTTTGTCACTAAATCCCTTAAGCATTTTGCTCAGCAAAGAGCAAGATTATCACCCGAGACCTCCTTAACACAGATCCCCAACACCCCTTATTCACCGCCTTTACAAGGATGACCTTGAACTCATTGCCAATGGAGGATCTACACACAAAATACATATTCTGCTTGTCGAGTCCTTTTCTAATGACATCGGCATGTCCTTTGGACTCGACAAATGCAACATTCTTCATTTGAAACGTGGCAAGTTAGAAGAGGGAGGATCAGTCAGTTTACTTGGAGGAGGAGTTATTGACCATCTCGTGGATGGTCAGGACTATACGTACTTAGGGATGCAGATTACGGAAAAACTCCAGAATGCCCATATCAAGGAAAGACTTCCGTCAGAGTACAAAAATCTGGAGTTCAGAGTTGAACGCTCGCAATAAAGTTAAAGCCACAAATACTTATGCTGTGCCCGTCCTTTCGTATACTTGTGGTGTTGTTGATTTGACGAAACAAGAAATTCAGGGTATTGACACCCTCACACGAAGAATCATGTCAGACAATAGATCCCACCATCCTCGCTCTTCCCTCAATAGCTTATATTTACCAATCATTATGGAAGGGCGTGGTTTGATTAACGTTGGGGCTCTTCATGATAGAATTCTTTTGTGCACTTTTGCACACATTTATTTGTCTGATGATCCTCTTGTGGAGCATATCAAGACTCATGATGAAAAATAAGGCATTCCACAGTTTTCTTAAACGAGCCAAGGATGTGGCACATAATTTCAATGTAAGTGTTGATTTTGTGATGAGTGTCAACCAAACGAAGTGCCATATCAAGTCGGCCCAGACTCAAGGAGAGGCTATCTGAGCGACCACTGCATCGACTATGTGTAGTGTGTTGAGCAGCAACCCTACAGAGTCCTTCGTTTGGATGAAGTTGGCTGGCCTGAAAAGTGAAACAGAGGGCTTTTGTTTTGCTGCTCAGGAACAGCCACTTCCTACTCGAAACCGCCAATGTGTGATTTTGCATCAAAATGCGAATATGAAATGTAGATTATGCAATGAATTTAATCAGACTGTCCAACACATGGTCAGCGGATGCCAAGCTTTTGCCCAGACACAGAATCTTAAGCGACATCATTTTTTTATTACCGTCTTCGCCATGCTTGTTGTTTTGACACAGAGGTCGATCCATGGTAAGACCCTGAATATGTAAAGGGCGTCATTAAAAATGATCAATACAAAATCCTTTGGAATAGGCCCGTATCCAGGCCAACAAACCTGATCTTGCTCTTTTTTATAAATCCAATGAAATCATTTATATCATTGAAATTTCTGTCCCTTTTGACACGAATGTGATTGACAAGGTTGAGAAAAACATGGCAAATAAGAAACTTTGGCACCCAACGAGCAGATATTTTATTCATCTGTAAATGTTGATGGACGTCCTGACCTAGGGTCATCAACAAGTCATGTTCTCCCAGCCTTAAACATAGCTGTCCAACGTTTAACAGTGTAATAGCTAGGCCACTTATCCCCATACACTTGTGACATGCGGTCATGATTTTCATGGAGAGTACTTTTCTCTAAAGTCAAAAACTCGATGACTGCTCGGTACTCATTCTTTTCCATTTCTGTGTCCATTTGGACCCCTGTCACGTTCAACTGGCTGTCACTAATACACAAACGGCCTCAACAGACCAAATACACTTGCAATTAACTATTCGAACGATGCACTACACTGACTAGTTTAATTTGTTATGAACCATAGTTGCAAGTTAGTCAGGCTTAAAACCTCTCGACCAGCCCTCGTATTAGTGTAAAAACGTAGTGAAGGGTGAGTTACCAGCTTAAAGTTCGAAAGTATTGATATCACTACAACAATGTCTATTTTCACTCTGTTGATACACACTGTTGCCTACTCCCTGAAATGTGAGTGAGTGAGTGAGTGTGGTATTACGCCGTTTTAGGGAAAGAATTCCAGCATATATCACGTCGGGGGACTACAGAAATGGGCTTCACCAATAGTACTCATGTGGGGAAACGATGCAACAACAAGTAACAGGCCCTAGCGTTAATGTTGGTGCACTCACGACTGTTCAGAATATTGTCACTATGGAATGTCTTGAAAGAGGCATGTCTCCGTTCTTCAACCCAGAATAGTGTTAAAGGTGACATGAATTCGATGTTTCCAGACACGTATCCAATCCGCACTTGGAAATTATATCAGAACTAAAATCGGGTCGAAAAGACCTCGAATATAGGTACAGCCTTAATGCTAGAAACTGTCCCATCCAGAAACATCTAGAACGATCAAAACTGACCAATTTAAAAAAAACCTTAAAGGCGATGTCATTCCGGTGGTTGCATTCAACCAAGCAATTGACCACCCGATCAATTTAGTCGTCTCTTATATACAACATACTTTGCTGGATACCTCTATTTCTATTTGGACTCTCCAAGGGTCTATGAGAATTATCGAGTATTTAATATGAATAGTGTATGTGGAATATCGATACTTTTCATATTAAATGACTGACAAGTAGGCTAGAAAATATTATGTTCAACATTTGTACGTAATGCCATAGAGAAGTGTAAAGAGACAAATATGTTTTAACGTGACACAAGTCGTTCTTTAGAGGTCAATACAGAGGTCCTCATTGTCTATCACATGGCTGAACGGTTCTAGTTGTTCGTAACGTGACACAAATGCTAACAGAATGGAACGGGTATTGTGGAACCTGACAACTCCAATGAACCAAAACGGGCCGTTACTTGCAAGTCTATTTTCTTATTGTAGCTGATCTTTATCGGGCAATAGCGTGGCTTCATGGTTGAACGTACAGGACGCCAAAGATCCAGATTCGATTTCCAACACGGACATTTTGGTGTTTAGACCATCCTTAAGATGTGTGCTGTTCAAAATATGCGGATGATGCTTTAGCACATGAGATCAGAAACAAACAGTGCGCCTCAACCATTTTTTGTTTCGGCAATTTTCAAAGCCAAAACACTTCCCGAAATCTTTACGAATCGCGTACCATTGCAATAACTCACATTGCGTACTCCTATTAACTTTAGAGCACACACGTACAAAAACAAAGAGCAAAACTGAAAACATCATTGAATCAGTTCATTTAAATGTCAAAAGGTGAGCTACTTCAGACACTGATATTTTACACAAGACATCATAGGGCAAATATCTGTAGGGGGTTCTTAAGAAAAATGTTTCAGATAAGCGTGCTGACGTCTGTGTGTTAATGTCATCCGATGAAGGGAGGTCCTGCTGTTCCAGGATCATCGTGTTGATTGAAACAAGTCTGAACATTGGAGAATCACTCAGAGATATCATGTTAGGTTGTATAACAACACTAATGGCGTTTGGGGCCAATCACGTTCTAGTAAATCAGCAGGGCAAATTATGTTGTTAACGGCTGGAGGGGAGAAACGAGATACGGCAATAAAACATTTTCGGAAACCAAAACCTTCTAATGTACCACCCGGA